ACTATTTCAAAGTTTACAAGACAATTGAGTGATTAAGATTAGGGCAAACAAAAACTACTGTTTTTTGTAGAAGAATGAGTTTCCTGAGAAATTAATGGGGAACCAGGTACACAATGACCATACATCACAACAAGCAATATCATCTTCTAGACAAAGAAGTTTAATGTGTGGTTTATTCTGGTCATTTGTTTTGAGACTTCAAATTCAGGAAAGGCTTAGAACAAAAACTTACTTAAATTTATAGTGTGGTCAAACTTGAAAGAGGACCAGCTAGATAATAAATCTAGAGTACTGAAGCAGTATCAGAAAGACCGGGCAGTGTTTCCTCTGTTGTACATAGGGTCGCTGTGAGTCGGTACTGACTCAATGGCACTTAAGTCCTTGGGAATGCTGTATGGTGCTGCTATGAGTTGAAACTGACTTGGCAGCACTTAAAAAAATCAATAAACTCTAATGACGCTGAATATGTTTTGTTATTTTTCAATTTCGTGGATTCTACTCATAGTAATCCTATATCACAGAGTAGAACTGCCCTATGTGGTTTTGTAGACTGACTGTTTATGGCCCCAGATTGCTGTGCCTTTCCTCTCAGAGCCACTGGGTGGGTTTGAACTGAAAACCTTTTGGTTACAAGATCTAAAATGTTGGGCTACCAGAATTCTTAATGTTGACCTATTTTACTAATATGTTGCCATGACAAATGCCTCTGATCAGAGGAACTGTAAGGCATTTCCCAAAGGAAATGAAAATTTTTAAGATTTTGAAGAAAGTAGGAGTGTCCACTCATGTCTTTGAGTTGATTCTAACTCATAATGATCCTATATTGGAGTTATTATTATTAAAAGCCATCAAGTTGGTTCCAATTCATAGTGACCCTGTATAGGGTTTCCAACGAGCCACCAATAACTGAACCACCGACCTTTCAGTTAGCAGTCCAGTGCTATGCTACAATGCCATATCAGGAGTCCAGTTAGGCTAGTTGAAATGAAGCAGTGTTTGATAGAATTGAAGTATTATAATGAAATATGCAAAACCTGGAATTAGAACATCAAAAGAGAACACACTTTGCTCAAGCTAAAAGAATGAAGAAAAAATTCAAGCATCGGGTTATAATTTTAAAAATGGAGTCCTGGTGTGGCACTGTGGGTAAATTTGCTGGCCTTCAAAGTCAGTTTAATCTGTAAGATCGGTGGTTCAAACTCACCAACCTCTCCACAGACATTCTATATAGGGTCATTATGAATCTGAACCAACTTGACGGCACTTATCAAAAACAATAACTACAATAGGCAAAGTATTGAAAGATGCAGGAAGCAGTGAAAGAAAATAGAAGAAATACACCATCACTATACCTCCTCCAAAAAATTGGTTGATGTTTAATCATTTCAAGTGGTAGCATATGATCAAGAACCAATGGTACTGAAGAAAAGGTCCAAGCTGCACTGAAAGCGTTGGTGAAAAACAAGTCTTCAGGAATTGATATGAATTGAAATGTTTCATTCAACACACTGATGTAGCACTGGACCCAACTACGCCAAAATATTTGGAGAATAGGTACCTGACCAACTGATTGGAAGAGATACATATTTGTATCCATCATAATGAAAAGTAACTCAGTGGAATGTGGAAATCATCTAATAGTATCAGTAGTATCATTTGTAACTATAGTTTCGGTGAAGATAATTCAAAAGCTGTTGCAATGACAGGGAGCTGCCAGGAAATCTAACCCAATTCAAAAGAGGAAGTGAAATGAGTCATACCATTGCTGAAGTCAAATGGATTTTGGCTGAAAACAAAGACTAGCAAAAGATGCTTCTTACTGTTAAGTGGCGTTGAGTTGCTTCTGACTCGTGGTGGTGGTGGTTATGTGCTGTGGAGTCAGTTCTGACTCATAGTGCTCCTTTACAGAGTTTCTGAGGCTATAAATCTTTTCGGGAGCAGAAAGCCTCATCTTTCTCCCACAGAACAGCTGTAGTTTTAAACTGCTGACCTTGAGGTTCACAGCCCAATTTGTAACCACTATGTTACCAGAGTTCGTTGGTTCTGACTCATAGTAACTCTAAATAAGGTTTCTGAGGAGCAGCTGGTGGGTTTTAAGCACTGACCTTGTGGCTAGCAGTGCTTATCCTACTATGCCACACCGAGAGTCTTATTTGTGCTTTATTTATTATGCAAAGCCATTCAACTGTGTGGATCCTAGCAAACTATGGATAACATTAGGAAGGACAGGAATTCCAGAACACTTAATTTTGCTCAGGTGGAACTTATACACCAATAGATCAAAAGACATTTGTTGGAATAGTACAGGGGGATACTGAGTGGTGTGGTACTGTAGGATAAACACCGGACCTCAAGGTCGCTTTAAACTGCAAGGTTGGTGATTCAAACTCACTAGCAGCTCTTCAGAAAATCCTATACAAAGTCATTGAGTTGGAACCCACTTGACAGCACTCAACAACAGAAAAATCAGGAAAAGTGTGTGTCAGGGTTGTATCCATTCATCATATATATTCAAGCTGTATGCTGACCTTTGCATTTGCAATAGAGTATTTAACTATTGCATTAATGTTAAGTGCTATCAAGTTCTGACTAATAGCAACCTTGTATAGGGTTTCCAAGGAGTGGCTTGTTGCATTTGAATTGGCAACCTTGTGGTTCAAACTGACCATGTGGTCCAATGTTTATTGTACAGTGTCACACAAGGACTCCAATTGTATTACTAGGGGTTTTGTTTTGTTTTGTTTTGTTTTTTGCATATAGATAGTCCATTTTTTCAACTACATTTGTGAAGAGGGACATCCTTTATTGATTTTACTTGCACTATTGTCAGTATTCAGTTGTCCATAACTGTATGTCTATTTCTCAATTCTTTACTCTTTTCTCCTGATCAATTTCTCTATCTTTATACAAGTACCACACTATTGTTATAGCTTTGTACCACACTATTGTTATAGCTTTGTAAGTCTTGAAAACAGGTAGCGTCTGGTAGAATTCTGCAGTGAAACCATCTGGGTTTAGACATGTTTTTGGAAACTTTTAATTTATGAGTTCGATCTAATCAGTTATATGATGACTCAGACTATTCATCTTGGAGATGTCAGTTGTGTTTTGATGCTGAGTCGTTTCCAACATATTGACTCTGTGTGGAGTTTCCGAGGCTGTAAACCTCTATGAGAACAGCAAGTCACATCTTTCTCCTGTGGTTGTTGTTGTTGTTAAGTGCCGTCGAGTTGGTTCCGACCCATAGTGACCCTGTACAGGGTTTCCGAGGGTGTAAATCCTTACGGGAGTAGAAAGCCTCATCTTTCTCCCACGGAGCGTCTGGTAGTTTCGAACCGCTGACCTTAAGGTTCGCAGCCCGATTCGTAACCACTACGCTACCAGAGCTCCTTGGCTGGTAAATTCAAACGGCCAAGCCTCTGAGCCCATCAAGTACTCCACTATGCTAGGGATCTCCTGGAGATGTCAGTGTTGTTGATGTTGTTGTTATGCGCCAACAAACTGGTTACAACTCACATGGTATACAGTGTCTGAGAGTGGCTGAAGGGTTTGAACTGCCGAACTTGCACTTGGCAATTCAGTGCTTATCCTACAGCACTGTGCTAATTCACATTATTAGGTCGGATCTGCTTATTGACTACTCTTACTCACCTTTAAATTTTCCAAAAAGTTTTTACTGTATATTTTCTTATATGTAAAATGGGCCCACATCATACTGTTGCAACTGTATTTTAAAGAAAATGCATGTAAAATCTCATAAATGGTAAAAATCATCGAAAATATTATTACTCTTTCTCGCTTGTATTTTTTGGAAGGATGTGGAGTCCTATAGGATAAGCACTGGACTGCTAACCACAAAGTCAGTGGTTCAAACCCATCAGCCGCTCCTTGGAAGCCCTATACAGAGTTGCTATGAGTTTAAACAGATTTGATGACACTTAACAATGTGGCACTGTAGGCTAAGCACTGAATCAAAAGTTTGGTTTGAACCGCAATGTCGGCGGTTCAAACTCACCAGCTGTTCCTTGGAAATCCTATACAGGGCAGTTATGAATCAGAACTGACTTGATGACACTTAACACAACAACATATGTGTAGATGCTGTATGATGAAGCCCATATTTGTTTTCTTTTCCTTTCCTTTGTTTTTTCTTTCAGTAATTTGGTAGGGAGGAGATCCAAATGTAAGTAAATTCACAGGGTCACTATGGGTCGGAACCGACTCGATGGCACATAACAACAACAACACATTTTTTATAGTCCTGGTGTGTGGTGCTGTGGGTTAATGCACTGGACTTCAAAGTCCATTTGAATCACAAACTCAGCAGTACAAACTCACTAGCCACTCCTCGGAAACCCCATACAGGGTCACTATGGGTTGGATCTGACTTGACAGCACATAACAACAACAATGCATTTTAAGAAAAAGTAAAATTTAATTCTGTAGACAAGTATTTTTTGGAACTTTTATTCTGTATCAATTATCTGGGCTAAGAGTCAACTTGGATTAATTATAAATACTATGAAAAATATTGCATAAGAATCACACACATGCTTCATTCTAAAATCTGGTTATATTTAATTAATGAGGAAGCCACAGACAAGTGTAGGTGTCAAATTTTTAATTCATTCTTCATGCAGGTGAAAACATTATGTGATAAGAGTGGCAATGATGCTGTAGTCTGCTCTTCTTGAATATTTTATTTCTGTCTTAATTATAATTCAGAGTTCCAGTGACCTAAATCCTCTGGCTAAATTTTCCAAATCTTCTACTTGATTTCTTAGTGTACTGAATCCATGGCCAAATTGAACACGGTTATTATAAACTATGGTAATTTTGAATTTTTTTTTTTTTTAACTTAAAAGCAAATGCAGTAGAAAAAGATCCCTTACTATTTGGAATCGAATTTGTAACTTACACGTCTAAAATTCTCTCCTGGTATGCGCCAGTTAAATCTAAGCAGATGACATGCTCTTTCTTCACAAAGTACGTTGGATATTTCAGTAAATTTTGTCCTCACATTTGCAAGTAGCTTGACATTTTTCCTTGAGCAACTCATGCTCACAACCAGCTTTAGTCTTCAAATCTGCACAGTTACTAAGGAGGTCTTCATACTCGCAGCTGTTGGCTATAAAAACAAAACAAAAACAAAAATCCCACAAACAACCACAGTTATGTCACCTCAGTATCATTTTCCTCTTTGATAAGAAAGTAATCTTTCAATTAAAAGTTAGTAAAGAGGGTAAGCCTTGGGGATGTAGTTCAACTGTAGAGCACAGGCTTTGCATGTATGAGGCCATGGGCTCGATTCTGGCATTTTGATCTTAGCTAGATTTCCTCTCGGGAAACCCCAGTGTCCTGGTGTGGCACTGTGGATTAATGAGCTAGACTGTAAAGTCAGTTCAAACCTCAAGGTCGGTGGTTCAACCTCACCAGCTGCTCCTCAGGAACCCTATACAGGGTCTCTATGCGTTAGAACTAATTCAACAGCACTCAACAACAACAGCAGCAAAGGAGGGTAGGTAGGATTGGATGAACAAATTAATATCACATTGTCTGCATCATTACTAGACTGGTAACCATAGGGTCGGAGTCCTGGTGTGGCGCTGTGGGTTAATACGCTGGAGTGCAAGTAGGTTTGAATCGCAAGGTAGGTGGTTCAAGCTCACCAGCCTCTTCTTGGAAACCCTACACAGGGTCCCTAATGAATCGGAACAGACTCTAAGGCACTTAACAATAACAACAACAACCATAACGTTAGCAGTTCAACCCATCAGCCACTTTCAGAAACCTTATACAGGGTCACTGTGAGTTGGAACCAATTACAAGGCACACAATAACAACAACAGCATTGCATCTTCAAGGGAGCCTTAGTGCCTTAATGGGTTGTGCATTGGGCTTAATGTAAGGTTAACCAATGGGTCTGCTGTTTGAAGTTCTTGAGCTACATATGTAGTAGACTTCAGCCTACTAATTAAATCACTATTTAAATTTTGGACTCAGTGATTTGCCAATAAAAGTAATAGACCTACTTTCCTCCCTCAGCAAACTGAGTAAAGTGGCTTCATTAAATGTTTAGGGGACTGAATGTGGTAGCTGCTATCCATTGGGAGCTATTTAGATATAAATTAGTCTAAATTAAATAAGAATAAACATTTATTTCCTTTGTCTCCTTAGCCACACATCAAGTATTCAAAGTCCACTTGTGGTTAGTGAGTACCTACAAAACTTTGCCACATCTCATGCCATTCCATTAGGCAGCAGTGCTCTAGAATTTGATGTCACCAGGCTTTTCTTTAGGTTAAGTGAGTGATCTTTATTGGAAGATAAAGAAGTGAAACAAGGAGAATACGCCCCACCCCTTTTACTAATTTTACTTGAACATTCTCCAGGAGTTTGAAATTAACCAAAATATCAAACTAAGCTTCTTCTATTACTGAAGTGCCTGCTATTTCTTGGGTATGGCTTTCCTATATGGCGTTGTGGATAAAAGCACTGGACTGCAAAGGTCAGATTCAATGACAAGGTCTGTCATATGGAAACCCTATACAGGGTCACTCTGAGTCCCAACCTACTTGATGGCACTTAACAACAACGTAACAAATACTGATGGGCCTACTATTTCTTGGGTATAGCCTTCCTGTGTTGTGCTGTGGGATAAAGCTATGGGATAAAATAACAACATACCCTCTCTCAATCTAGGTGAAATGGCTCAGTAATTCAAACCAAAAAAAGAAGGTGTCAACCTGGACTCCTTCCCTTCTACTTTTTGCCAGCACTCAGCAAGCACAGATAACAAACACTGGCTGTTCTACTTCCTTACTCTCAAACCTGCCAATTTTTAAAATTCATTTTGTCAGTAGTACAGTGAAAACATTTATTTTAAAAAACTCCATGTTATTTAACAATTTCCTAGTGACTTTCATCTAATTGTTTCTTATTACTACTGTCCGAGTCCTGTTATGGTGCTGTAAACTAAGTATTGGACCAAAAGGTCAGTTTGAACAACAACATTGGAGCTTCACACTTACCAGCCACTCATTGGAAACCCTACACAGGTTCTTCTCGATAGTTGGAACTGACTCCACAACACTTAACAACCACAACCACTGACAGAAAGGTCTTTACAAAACTCTATTCTAATTTTGTCACTCTTCTGTTTAAAATCTTTCTATTGCCTGCTGTCTGCTAACAGAATAAACTCTTTAGTGATTTACAGCTTTGGTATCACCAATATTATGAATTATGGTTACACATCTGAGTGTAAACGAATACTAATTAAAGGTGAATGATTATGAAAGGAAAAAGTTTCAGACTGTATCAATTATATTGTGCATGTTATTTTAATAAAGGTATCCCAAGAACAGAAAACTGAGAGCTATTTTAACTTTTTCCATGACATAAATGAAATATATGACATGTATTCTATTCTCTTCTTTTGCTACCATTTCTGAGTTTGCTGAGCTAATAATACTGCATACAGATTAATTTCTGAAATTAAAATTTGCACAAAAATCACTGTTGAGCTATAAATCGAGATCATTTCTTAAATTTAAACACTGTGATTTTAATTACACTATTTGTTGGTATTATTAAATGCTGTCAAGTCGGTTTTGACCCATAGCGACTCTGTATAGGGTTTCCGAAGAGTGACTAGCGAACTTGAACCACCATCCTTGCAGTTCAAACCAACTTTGCAGTCCAGCACATTAGCCCACAGTGCCACAACAAGGCTACAATTACAGGATAGGCAGTGGGTTTGGGGTCGTGGGATGGAAAAAGGTGAGGAATTTTCAGCATACAGTCAAACAAAAGAAACAGCAAGACCTAGTGTGTTCTCACAGGTTTAGATTTATTTATTTTGCTTTTTCAAAATCTTTGGTAAAGTGATAATGCTCTTGTTAAGTGCCGTTGAGTCAGTTCTGACTCATCAAGACCCTATATGGGGTTTCTGAGGAGTTTTTTAACCATCAACTTCGCTGTTTCAAAAGTCATAGGAATTTTGATTAAACAAACTCTTTCACCTGGAACATGGCCACATATGCTAATGTTAATGGACCCAGCATTGTCATAAAAGTACATTGATGTTTCACTATGTTGCATATGTTGTTGTTGTTGTTAAGTGCCTTCGAGTCGGAGCCGACCCATAGCGACCCTGTACAGGGTTTCCGAGGGTGTAAATCCTTACGGGAGTAGAAAGCCTCATCTTTCTCCCGCGGAGCGGCTGGTAGTTTCGAACCACTGACCTTAAGGTTCGCAGCCCGATTCGTTACCACTACGCTACCAGAGCTCCTTATAGTAATGCATTTTTCATTATCATTAAGTAGATCACTGCAGTGTTAAAAATATCCACTTTAACAGATAGTCTGTTGAGTAGTATTTTTAGTTTTGGCACAAAGCTATTGCTTAAATTAATTACTTTCTTTTGTTGTTGTTGTTGTTAAATACCATGGAGTCGGTTCTGACTCATAGTGACCCTGCACAGGGTTTCCAAAGCTGTAAATCTTTACCGGAGCAGAAAGCCTCATCGTTCTACAGCGGAACAGCTGGTAGTTTCGTACTGCTGACCTTGAGGTTAGCAGACCTATTCGTAACCACTATGCTATTGCTACCAGAGATTAGTTAATCTTTGGGGGAAACTATAACAAATTGTAATAGCAATCTCTATTTTAATTAACGTCAAACTTACTGCACAGTCCATTTTCACAGTTTTCAGGGCAGCTGACACAGGGTGCTCCTTCTTTGTAAGGGGTAGTCTTTAGTTTGACATTATTGCCACTGAAATTTGATTAAAAAGATGACATATTTTTTAATGTGCACTTTAGTTTATGCCTCAAGATTACTACCAGTCACTTAAGACACATAATTTTGTTGAATGGTTTATGTCAAAAAAAACTGAAAACTTAAAATTCCCAATGTGCAATCCCACATAGGAAAAAGTTTCATACACTGGCCAACTGACTTAACTACAAACCCACAGGTTTCGGAACTGAAATAGGATAAAAAGGATCCAGTTTTCAGAATATAATCACTCCTTACTACCCTCAGGGGATTGGCTCCAGCCCCTTAATTCCCCACACCCCCCATTCCAAAATTTGCCCATAGCTCCACACAAATACAATGCAAATACTATGTAAATAGCACTTTATCTTCTCTTAGCCTTTGAGATACCTTTGACAATTGCTCCCCTCCCTCCAAATGGAGCCTGCAAATAGCAAAGTCCTGTCCAGATATATTTCAATGTTGCAAAGAACAGTAGCTTCAAGTTACCATGGCAATATAGCCTAAGGAGCCAGATAGGGGTAAAATGTAACTACTAGGGAGGCAAAAGAAGCCACTGGGGATAGGAGGTTAGAGTTTGTAATAGAATATTCAATGTTACAATATAATTTTATATTTAAATGATGAAAAGTAGTATAATTTTTATTTTATATGACAGAGAAGGTCTATTGTATTTTCCAAGATCATAAAGAAGGCTTTGTGGCACAGTGATTAAGGGGCTTATGCTGCTAACTTGAGGTTCAAATCCACCAGCTGCTGCAAGGGAGAAAGATGTGGTCCTCTGCTACTGTAAACTTTACAACCTTGGAAAGCCCATGGGAAAGTTCTATTCTCATAGGGTGGGTCTCTGTGAGTCAAAATTGACTTGACTGCAGTGGGTATTAATTTTTTTGATAGTTGGGTGCATCAGGAGAGGTCCTAGGTAGATTTTTGATTTCTAAAGGTGGTGTGGGGAATATATATTTTCTTTTCAGAAAAGGAAATATTAGTTAAAATAGAAGAAAAAGCAAACAAAGGTTTGAGTAACACCAGTCTCCAGGATGAATGAGTTTACAGTGGTTAGTAGTGGACTAGTAATAACAAGGTTAGCGGTTCAAGCATACCAGCCACTCCTTGGAAATAGGATCACTGAGTTGGAACTGACTTGATAGTATTTAACAACAATTGACCATTTTCAATTGAACTGCCAACTGCAAGACTGATGGTTCAAACCCACCAACCACTCCTTGGAACCCTGCATAAGGTCACTGTGAGTCACAACCTATTCAACATCACTTAACAACAACCTTCCTCCTGTTGCAAAAAATTAAAAACTTTAAAGAAATTAAGCACACACACACGTTTATCTTCAACACATCCATAAACATTATCATGGATAATTTTAAATGCATTATTTGAGGGAGGGAGTGTTTTTAATTATAAATCACTATCCTAACTAAGGATTTGTTGAGAAGTTTTCAATGAAAGATTTTCAGAAGTGAAAAGAAAGAAAGAAAGATATAGCCTCTCTCTGAACTACTTGAAATAAATTAAAAATCTTTTTAAGCCTTTCTGGCCCAAGATTTAATAATTTATAATGACAACAATTTTAGGTAAACAGAGACATCTGAGCAAAAAAAACAAAAAACAGTAGAATCACAGTATATCACTCCCTCTTTGCTACCTCACCCTCTGATCTGGCCTAACCATCAAGGTATCTAGAGTCATCAAACTCTGAAATTGTGCATGTAGCAAGAACTGCTAATAACAAATCTAGAGAATTGTACACTATATATGCTCAGATTAATCCTGAGGCTAAGGAAAGGTAATTGAGAGAAAATGCAAATAATTTTCTACATGAAAAAGAGGGAGTTTCAAAATTTTACACTTGTTGTTGTTAGGTGCAATCAAGTCAGTACCGACTCATAGTGACCCTATCGATGCACAAGAGAATGAAACACTGTTGAGTCCTGGGCCAACTTCACAATTGTTGCCATGCTTGGGCTCATTGATCACTTTGCCAATCCTCCATCTCGCTGGGGGTCTTCCTCTTTTTTTTCTGACTCTCCACCTTACCAAACATGATATCCCTCTCCAGTGACTGGTCCCTCCCGACAATACGTCCAAAGTATGAGAGACAAAGTTTGGCCATTCTGGCCTCCAAGGAGCACTCTGGCTGCACTTCTTCCAACACAGATCTGTTTGTTCTTTATGGTAGCCCATGGTACTTTCAATATTCTCCTCCAACACCATAATAACTCAAATGTATCAGTTATTCACTGTTCAACTTTTGCAGGCATATGAGGTGATTGAAAATACCGTGGCTTGGGTCAGAGACAGTACAAATAATTTTCTACATGAAAAAAGGAAGCTTCAGAATTTTACAGTTGCAACTAGAAATTGGTCTTTTTTCTTAGAGTTGAATGTGTCTCATCTTAGAAAATATTTACCACAGTTCTTCCTTAACTTAAATATGTTGTTTTTTTCTGGTTTATGAGAGATTTTATGTAATAAATTACAAACTGACATTAAAATTATAGTCAATAGTAAACTCCAAGATGTATACTTACGCAGGACAATAGTGGCAAACATAAAAGTATTTTAACATTTCTTGGTTGGGACAGAAGGCGATTCCACATCCAACACGGAATGATGAATACCAGACAACCTACACACCCATAAAAGTATGATACAGTATTTAGAGAAGAGGAAAAATGTTTTTAAAAATACAATGCAAAACCAAAAGGTTGTTGGTGTAGTTTGTTTATGTATAGCTTAGGGTGATATTTAAATTATTGACTCAAAATCTCAAATGAAAATTTTTTTAAATTTTAAATATTCATTTACATTCACTACGTTATCCATTTAAACTATGAAAAAAAAATCACAGAGTATGTTTCCTGTCTAAGAGTTTCACGTATCATTAACAAAAATGGGTCTCAGAAGGTGTCATCCGTGTGGTCAGACTCCTCTGGTCATTTAGTAGCACTTTGTTTATACTAACTGGACTCTTTCCTGAGTTGAGGATTGGGATCAGTCAGCATCTGGAGACGTTTCCTATGACAAGACATTTGTGGAAGAGGTATTTCATTCATTCTTCTTACCTGAGTATAATGGCCAACAGCTGCATTAGGACTTTTTGACCCTATACCATAGACAAAATCTCGACTCTCATCATACCAGTTTTGGATTGCATTTGACCAGGAAGTAGGGTCACTTGACATATAAAGATTCTCACCACATTTTGTACCTAAAATAAATCATAAGGAAAGCAAAAAAGCATGCAATGACAAAATAACTCTATATATACTAAGAAAAATTACTGCCTTTCCAACACAGTGTCTACGCTTGCTGTTGATTGTTGTAGTTGCTGTTGATAAGTGCTGTTGAGTCTATTCCAACTCATAGTGATTCAGTATAGGATTTCTGAGGAGCAGCTGGTAGGTTTGAACTGTCGATCTTGCAATTAGCAGTCTAGTGCCTATCCTACAGAGCCACATCAAGACTCCTTTTTATTGATTAATACATAAGAAATGTATCTCAGCTCCTTATTTGCTATAAAGTTGGATAAAAGTGAAGACCAAAACCAACATAAAAAGCTTTGAGTAGATGATGTTCTCTTGCCTTCAAAATGCCATTCCTGTGGACTTGGTCAAAGGTGCATTCCTGTACAAGTGAAGGTGTTCATATGTGCAGGCCTCCTGTGCTCTTAAAGCACCTCCTCTTACAATTCCTTTCCTGTGCTCACCTTCCCTTACCAAAGATTTTTCCAAATATAGAAAACTGGTTAAATGATTATGACTTTTTGTAAGCTTTGGCAAAAGCCTGAGTCAATTTGAAAAAAAAAGACTCAACCAAGAGGCAAATTACACCAGAAAACACAAAACATTTATCCAAGCTTATAACTGTCATTAAGACAATTCTGACTCACAGTGACACTGTAGGATGAGTAGAGATGGCCCTTAGGGTTTCTGAGATGGCAAATCTTTAAGGGAGCTGACTGTCTTCCTCTTTCTCCCATAAAGCAGTTGGTGGGTTTGAACTGCTGACTATGGTTATCAGACCAACATTTATCTCCCAGCACCATTAGTATGTCCAAACTCTTCTCTGAGGACTAGGCAATATGTGTCTTGTAGCCCCCAAACATTTCCCTAATTTTTTTTTTCAAGTCTTATACTTGACATTGACATTTGGTTGGCTTGAAATATATTGTATAATGCTGCTTAAAGAAAATATAAACCTCCTGGGCTAGCTTCTTTAACTAAGAAAGAAACTAAGAATCTCACAGCAGACTTGGATAATATTCAAGACCATTGATTTAAATCTTCTACTGAATGCACAGTCTTCCTTCTTCATAATTTCTTTATAAAAATAACATGAGAAATATTTTTAAAAACATGCAATTAAAAAGTTGGAGTTGCTTATGTGCATATATCATTCTTGATGATATAAAATTTTAAGTGAAACATGTGGGAGTTGTAACTTCTTATTTTTTTAAGTTCGACTTGCTTATATGCATATCAATCTTGGTAAAGCAAGTAAATTTTTATGCACAGTGAAACGTGGGAGTTGAAACTCCTTATTTTTCCAGGTCTTGCAAGTTTTCCACCTTTGACATTGTGCTCTATTTAATGGATAAGATTTGAGTTTTTCTTCTTTGATACATTTCTGGTTTATAGAGTTTCCAACTTTCACAGGATCATGCATGTAAGTTTTTTTTTTGTTTTTTTTTTTTTCTTAGAGCTTTTGTTGCAAGCACTGTAGGGTAAGCACTGGACTGACAACCATAAGACTGGCAGTTTGAATCTACCAGCCACTTGGTGGAAGAAAGATGAAGCTTTCTACCCGCATAAAGATTTTCAGCCTTGGAAACCCTATACAAGTTCACTGTGAGTCAGAACCAATTCTATGGCAGTGGGTTTGATATATACATATGTTTTTTGGCTTTGGTATGGTAGATTTTATGTCTTTCAATTTTTATTTTTTGGTAAAATATAGTATAGTATTGTGGACTTTTGGTGTGGTGCTGTAGGATCAGCACTGGACTTTGAACCATAAGGTCAGCAGTTCAAACCTACCAGCTGCTCCTTGGAAGCCCTAGACAGGGTCACGATACGAGTCATAATCAACTTGATGACATTTAACAACAACATAGTATTGTAGGCATCCAGTATATGCAAATAACTTGACAGTTTGAATAAGTAAAATAAATTTTTTTTTATAATAAAAAATAAGTACAAAATAAATTGTTGTTGTTGTTAAGTACCTAACATCCCCAAAATGCTAATCCTGATGAAAAAATATGCTAAAAATATTTTTAAAACAAAGTTTAGAGCAAGAATAGTACAATACTATTCAATATGTTTATGAATTATATAAAAAAATATTAACAGCCCATAAGATTCCAAAACCCAAAAGGTTACTATCACATAAAGGGCAGTGGTTTCAAACTCAAAGGCTGGCTTCAAATTTCCAATATATGACACAGTCATTTCTGGTTGTGTTCTTGGGTAAATTATTTTTCCCCTAAGCCTGTTTTCTAATCTTTAAAATAGAAAGAACATGGTCTATGACATACTATATTCATGAGCTGATTGAGAGGTACTGTGTGTGAGATTGTGTAAAATCTGAACAACAAAATGCTACTTCTTATAATTATATCGCTCCATAAACTGACTTTAAAAAGACAGCAAGATAAGCAAAAGGCTTCACAATCTTTTCTTCATTCAATATCATAGAAAGGCCCGCTGTTACTTTATGTGGTCATTTATTGGACATATAGGTACTAAATTACATACTGGTCTTGCGGTCCTCTGGATTACTGTGTTCTAAAGTGCACTTGTTTGCCCACTTTTGAGCATTTGTTGTTGCATCTCTGCTCCATTCCTGTCATGAGGGGAAAAAAAAAATCAGATAGACTTAATGATTTAACCATAATGAGATGTAAACTTTATAATCAGGTTGATATATTGGTTTGCAAGATTTCAAACTTCTGTAGAGGTATCCTTCAGTTATCATTAATATTAAATATTTATGTGTGTGCATGTGTAGGTTATCTATAACTACCCATTCCAGTTCCCACATAAGAAGAAGTCATAGGTAATGTGTCTCAGAAGATGAAAAAATCTACATTTGTGATTTCCCGTAATGGTCCCACTATAAATCCTGATAAGATGTCATTATTTTTTCAAGGTGGTCTAGACCATTCTGGTCTCTTTTGTAGCCCAGAACACACATAAGGAAGAGACCTGAATTTTACAAATATGCCCAGTGACGTAGGCTGTCATCTATTCTAACTTACAACATTGATCTTAAAGGAAAAGATAATTTCTTGATCCTAGACTATGAACTGTTGTTAAGTGTCATCGTGTCAGTTCTGACTCATATTGAGCCTGTGTAGGCTTTCTGAGTTGCAGCTGGTGGATTTGAGCCTCGGATTTTTATAGATAGAAGTCCAAGATTATCCCTACAGTGCCACACCAGGACTAGTAAATAGAAAAATATAATTGTTTCATACTGTATGACAAAAGATTTGGCGTCTCATTCTACTACCCCAACTTAATAACCTTGCAACCTTGAAAAGTTATTGAACCATTTATGAAATGAAAATAAGAAACTCTATCCTGCCCATGTAACAGTTTGAATACAATAGAAAAGCAGAGCTAGAACTCTGTAATCCACAGTTAGTTGCAGCGGTGTGCCATGTAACTCCCTGATGCTTTTACCATTTTCAACATGTTGCTGGCAGACGGAGAGACTCCTTTCCTTAGTTCATTGTGTTTGTTTACAATCTCCTTTTGGACTGCTGGTTGGGTGGTTAACAAAGCAGTAAAAGCTGGATCCTAAAGAGAAATAAAATTAGAATTATTTTCAATATATTTGAAATTTGCAGTTAAAAGTCAATAAAGGGAACGAATATAATTTTTTAAAAAATTGTTCAAGTCAAGCCAATACTGTTATTGTTCAGCGCTGTTGAGCTGCTTTTGACTCGTAGAGACCCTATGGATGGTTTCTGAGGAGTGGCTGGTGGGTTTGAACCACTAACCTTACAGTTAGCCATCCAGTGCTTATCCTACAGTGCCACACCAAGAATTACATATAATTCAGAACCAAAGCTATAATCTTTAAATAGTCTTTGTAGCGTAGTGGTTATGCATCGGGCTGCAAATCTTAAGGTCAGCAGTTCAAAACTACCAGCCGTTCAGCGGGAGAAAGATGAGGCTTTCTGCTCCCATAAAGATTTACAGCCTTGGAA